CAGGGAGCGGGCACTGACCTGCCACATGACTCCGGAGTTGTCGAGTCCACTGTCTGCATTCAAGCTGAGGCTTCTTTTATGAATGCAGCTTCCTACACATAGGCGGGGGTGGGGGGAATTTAAGCAGGAATGGTGTGGATCCACATGTGCTGGGAGATGCCAGATTTGCCTGGAGCCATTGTTGCATCCCTGCCAGCACCCACGGCAGGGCGGGACCATCACAGCCAATCCCCTGACACAGATGGAGCATCTCAGCTCAAAGAAGAGAAAGCTCCAGGGACACTTTATTGCCACCTTTCAGTACCTGAAGGAGGCCTGTAAGATGGAGACAAGTTTGTTAGTAGAACAATGCCTTTAAACTATAAGACAGTTGATACAGATTAGACATAAGGTAGAAGTTTTTTACTATGAGGGTAGTAAAACAATATCCCAGGTTGCCCAGAGAGGCGATGGATGTCCCATGCTTGGAAACATCCAAGACCAAGTTGGACAGGGCTCTGAGCAATCTGATCTAGTTGAAGATGTTCTTTCTTATTGCAGGGGGGTCAGACTATATGACATTTAAGGTCCCTTTCAACCTGAACCATTCTATGATACTAAGATCTCCAAAAGGCTCTCTCCAGACACTTGTTGATGCACAGTGTGCTTATCTGCTGTGGTTGAAGTTCTCTACAGCAGGCCTGCTGGACTGGACACAGACACATTCCTCCTTCCCGGGTTTCTCCTGCAGACTCCTTTTCCCTCAAACTCAGCCAAGCTGCAGGCCTGGGAACATCTCAGGCAGAGACAGCCCCACCAGCCAGCACTATCTCCTGGCATCTCCTGAGACGTGCCATTTTGTGTGATGACAACACCTGGCATTGCAATGAGCTACTCGGAGTTCCTCCCTCCCTCCTGCTCTATCACATTCCCTTCTAGCCCACGCTCATAAAAAGAGTCTTATCCTTGCTAAGGCAGGCCCAGACGTATCAGACAGTGCTGCTGATAACATCTGTTATGAAACATGCTGGGCAGGGAAGGGCTACAATGGGGATGCCCAGGTGCTGAAAACATGACAGGACTGAGAGGCAACTGCTGGCTCTGAGGTTTGCCCCAGTGTATCAAGCTGGCCTGGAGGACACCTGCAAAATGGACAGCTTGTTCAGCTTGCATGGGGAGATGGTGTTCACAAAGGAGGTGGCAACCCTCCAGGTCTGACAGAAATGGTGCTCCCTGGCCCCTGGCTTTGTCCTCGCAAAGCAGTTGTTGGGTGCTGGTGGCAGTTCAAGATACACAGGTATTTTGGAGTGTGTGACTTCTCTGCTGAGCAGGAGGCCCTCAAGACCTTTCCACCAACAGGACCCTTGATCTACCCTAGGATGGGAGAGTGGTCAAGATGCAAAACCTGTTTACACCAAAGCACAACAAATGAATACACAGCTTTCAAATTTTAGACTCCTTATTGCAATTCTCATCCCAATAACAAAGAAGGCAAACAGCCTTTTCCAAGGCTTAACCAGAGAGAGCCCAGCATCCTGGCCATAGCAGCCATTCTTACACACTTCCAGCAGCACAGAGGTCAGAGACATTTCCATTGCAATGACACAGTCACCAGAAGAGCAGTGAAATCTCTGCTCCAAAACTGTCATTATAGACAATTAGTATGACCTGAGGATAGCATATTCATGTAGAGACCACAGTGACATGGAAAGGACTGTCAAGTATTAGGGGAATAGAAACCACCCAAGAAACATAACTGTGCATTTTGCACATGACCTGTTTTATCAAAGACTAATGCAAAACCCACCATTCCTTTTCTGGACACTTGAGCAGAAAGGTTGAGAGGGGGACAGAAAAGGCAAGCCCATTTATTTTCTGTGTTATGGATATGCAAAGGTATGAAAGATACTGCAGTTTTACTGGTACAGCTGTGACAAAGGTTTGACCTCATAACTGCAGTAGAATTTATCAGATCTGGTTGTTCAAAATGGTGTGTTACTTGCACATTATTTGTTGCACATTAGTTAACAATTAAATACTTTTTGAAAAATGCCTGGATCTGTGACCAAGCATGAACCTGAGCTTTAGAATAAGCCCTGAGCTCCCCACCCAGGGCTGCTCGCTTGTGAAAAACAGGGTGGCTTCCTATGTGGTACAAAGGGAAAAAGGGTGGGTCTATGCAGTGCCCTGTTCCAGGGTAGGAGAGAATCTGAAAATTTTTCTTCCCTTGAGCTTGCAGAAGCTTGCAGACTTCAGTAGCATGATACTCACTTTTGACAACACAGTCATCTTGGCCCACCATGAATAGAAGCTGTGCCTCACCTTTCTCTAGTGGGATCCGGCTTTGGTCGCCAGGAGCTTGAAAGGGATCATCCATGCCATCAGAATAGTCAAGAAATTTGGAATTGGTGGCCTTGGCTTTGTGTTCATGTAAGGCCACAGTGGGGATGATTTTATTTTTGTAAGAGAGAGGAATCGCTGTAACAGCAACAGGGGCATTGAGGGAAGCAACAGCCAAGATGTTCTTCAGGAAGGCAGCCATGGCAAGGGACACTTCGGCTCCTTTGGAGAAACCAAGCAGGCCAACCCCTGGACCCTTCACCTGGGAGATAGAAGGAAATGCTCATCAGTGCTCAGCTGAAAAGATTGATGGAGGGGAAGATTGTCCAATGCTGAGAGTTTGCAAAACCACACAAAGAATGTGACAGCAGTATTTACTTTTTCTTTTGAACAAAGGACAGGCATCTCCTACATAATTTTTTTTTCTATTTTATGTAAAACATTCTTTTATGATAGCCAAGAGAGAACAAGCACAATGACACTATTTGAACTCTGGTTGCAAGAGAAAAATAAGATTATTTAGAGCTAATGTGGAAATGCTTTGGTAGTGGGAGGCTGTAAGAGGAGATCAAGGTTCCCCCATATTTGACAGAGACAGTTTCAGCCATCTCAGAGATGTACCTAGTGCTGCTTAAAGATGAGGAAAAGGTGGTTTTAATTTTCTTTTTATATCTTCCTTTCTACTCTGTTATTTACTGGCAATAAATTAAATTATTCTTCTCCAAGTCAAGTCTGTTTTGCCGGTGATGTTGGTCAAAATATTGATGAATTATTCCCTGTCCGTATCTTGACCTGTAGGGTTTCTCTTAGTTTCTCCACCTCTCCTGTTGCTAAAGAGGATTGAAAGAGTGGCTTGGCAGATATCCAGCACCCAGCCAAGGTCAACCTCCCACAGCTGGCTACCAGTAAAGTCTTTTCTCTTTATATTTTTTAGACTAACGGTTCACATGTGGGCATGTGGTGACAATTCATGAAAGCTGCTTCAAAAAATGCAGGTGTCTCCTCTCCACAATGCAGGTGCCTTCTCTTCTCAGTCACTCTGAGATTGTGGTATCTGAATAGTACCCATGCTCTGAATAGTACCAGTGCATATCTGTTGATTCTTCCCCTTTCCTAGGTGAGCATTCTGGCAGGTGCTAGCCAAACCAGATGAGTATTTCTGCATCTTTCTCAAAAGTGGCAAAGTGACAGGCACGTGTGGGACTGCCGACTCCCCTCCCCACTTTTTGTGCCCCATATGGATGTTGTGAAACTCAATGGTCCTTTGTGTCCTTCAAAAAGATGCTGTTCCTGTGCCCCAAGGGTCTGATTATGAGAGCAAATAAATGCTTGCTGTCTCAAAATTCTCCTGTCCTGCTCAGCTTCGCTTGGAAAAATTGGTGGATATGTTTCCTGTATCTTCATTTGTGTTTCTGCACTGCTTGGAAGCCCATGAAGGGACCATCAGCATGGTCCTTGCCTTACAGCACGCAGAACATTCCCCTCCAATAGCCACGGTGTTATGACCTCTGGAGGGCACGACACTGCCCCGTGCCTTTGGTGCCTGTGCTGCGCTGCCTGTACAACGGCGCCTTCAGGCCTGTGCTGCCCTACACAGAACCCAGGCCCTACAGGAAACTCAGCCAGCTCTTCCTTACTGAGACCACAGGCAGCTCCCACCCAGGACCTAAGGTAACACAGCTTATGTGGCCCTGCCCTTATTGAACAGTGCACAAAGATATTCCCTTGCAAACATTGTTTCTCTTTGACTGTAGATATGCTACAAAGAGCTGTTTCCTTATTCAAGAATCTTACAATACCTTAAAAGACTGAAAGGAGATGAAGCAAAGTGAAAATTTTCCAGGATAGAAATCCATTTTAATTTGGAGGAAATGTAAAATTTTTGAGTTGAGTCTGTGGTTAGAAATCATAGTTATTTAGCCAGACTGCAAGGCCTAAGCTCAGTGAAGTTACTTCAGCGAAGGACAGAGATAAAGGGGGGGAGACAGAAGATGACAGAGTGACAGGGACTGCTGTAAGGGCAGGTCAACCTGACCTCGGAATTCCTTCTGATAAAAGGGAACTAGCGGTAAATGTCACATGAAACCCATAAAAATGAATATGTATGAACCTATTGTGAAATTGTATGCATATGTATTTGAGAGAGAGATAAAAAGAGACCTGAAGTTCTCAGAGGCACGCATGCTTTTTTTGAGGAGAGCAATCTCCACATGCGTCCAGCGCTGTAATAAACATACTAAGCTTTACAACTTTGACAAAGTTGTGGGGTTTTCTTCTTTTCTCCTCAAAACAGAGACAATCTCTGCTATGAACTACGTCTGCATGACATGGGGAAATGCTTCTTTGCTTGGGGTTCTCAGCATCTAAAGGGATGTAAGATTAGTATTAGCTATAATACATGGCATTTTTAGATACCTTACAAAATATGCTTTTCTTACTGGGATCATAATGGACCACTACCTCCTAGTCAAAAAAATTTGGTATACTCTGCAGGTCTCAGCAAGAAATAGCTTTCTGCAGAAAGAGCAATTAAGAAAACAGAAACTCTGTGCCTAGCTAGTCCTGTGTAAATCTGTGAGGAGTACCTGTAAGGTGTCCTGTAAGTCCAGGCAGTTTCCAGAGTCCAGGGAAAGGAAAAGCTAAGGAGATTTTATGCTGTCTTTGGTGAGCATTAAAATGCTCAAAACAGACATGGGAGTGCTTGCATCCATCGCAGAAAGAGCAGCATGAGCTCCTGGTGCAGCTCTGCAGCACAGCCCCAAGCAACAAAGCTGCAGTGCTGGTGCCTGTGGTTGCACATAGAGCACACAGAGCAACCCAGGAAGGGCATCACTGGGACAGGAGATATTTACCAGGGACATAAATGGTGCGGTAAGGATGGCTGGTGAGGATGAGTAGACAGGGGGTCTGAGGATGAGTTTGGCAACAGCATTTCTGTCCAGCCACTAGCGCTTCACAGAGCCAAGAGGCCCAAGGGCACCCCAGCATGATCTTGTGCAATTTTACACAGCTCAGCTTTCAAGATTTAGCAAAAGCATACAGGCAAAAGAGGGAGGAAAGGCTGGCAGTGTTCCAAGTATGGGATCTTGGAGGACATACTGTACACTTAAATCCCAAACAGTTGAGTGTATGGGTGCTGTCTTGCAAAACCTGGATAACCCAATGGCTCGGAGGAGCACAGGGCAATGCATCCCGCTCTCAGTGAGTATAGCTTCAGGAGGCTTTAAAGACAGAACTATCTCTCACCTGCTGACTGCTGTGATAAAATAGCATTGTGGAAAAACGTTTCAGAGGTTTGCCAGTATTTATGGGGACTGACCTCACAGCCAGGCACATATTCATGTGGTCCTAAAATGGAACTTTTTCACCCAGCACAAAAAATCCCCAAACATATTGGAAGGCACCCCACTTGCCTTGAAAGGACCAATAATTTCATTGCTAAAGGCTGCTGTGGGGAACCGGAGGGGGGGGGAAAGATATTTTATTTGTATTACTGGACTGAAAAGGAAGCAAGCGAACCTGAAGCATTTCAAACGCAACAGATCACGTTTGCCTGAGAAAATCTTACTGCATCATTCAGTAGGGGCAGGGCCACATAGGTGGGTGTGATTGCCCAAACTGAGTGGGAGCTGCATACAGGCTCCTCTTTTAGGAAGCCTAAAAAGAGGCTCCTCTTTTTAGGTAAATGTGTGACCAAGGGATCTTTACAACACAGCATGGACCTGAAGGCCACACCATGTATGCAGGATAGCCCAGCAAAGGCAGACAGAATGGTGACCATTACCAAATATGCCTATGAACAGTATTTCCTGCATAAAGCTGAGCAGACTGCTTAAAAATACTCTGAAAACATGATGATGACTACAAGAAAGTTCACAACCTCCCTGAAGTTACCTAGGGTGTAATAACATGGCTGGTGAAAAGAAGATAACAAATTCTCTTCTCTAGGCACTTAGCCATGCAGAATTGCTCCTAGAGCAAATACTTATTTTATTCAGAACATTTGATTTCTCTACCCATGACATAGACCTTCTATCCCCAGATGAGATGCAGAGACCTGAACTGCTGATTCATATCTAGCAGACAAAAGGCAAGACCAAGACAGAACATTTTCTAAACAAGTGTACTTTTATTTTGTGAAAAAATAAGGGTTAGATTTTTGCCAGAGGCTTCTCAGTAGTCAGAATACCTTTCTCAAACAGAAGTGTAGCTAGAGAAATCTTTTCCTCCAAGGTTTCACATGGAAGGTTAGCCACACTTACATGATTTGGATAGGAAGACAGAAGAAATTCTATACTGTCTGTATATTCAGGATCTAGCTCAAGAAACTTGGGTTCTTCCTTATGATACACTCTTGAGTTTTCTGTAGTGTAGTACAGCATCACACCTGCCTCTTCATTACACAGTCTAACAATGCCATGACGGAGCAGGCGTACTTCGGTGTCTTTTGTTATCAGGATATCAACGTTGCAGGGGCCTCCATCTTGCCACCGGGCCGGGAAGCCGTAGACACTCTGTGCCTTTTCACTTTGAGTGAGCACTGGAGGGAGACAGTCATGAAGAAACGACTTGGCTCTCTGATCCACAGCAGCATCGATGGGTGCATAGTCAACAAGTTTCTTTATCAGGCTCTGCACCTTCTCCACAAAGGCCGTTCGCCGAGCATCGACTGTGTCAGAGTTAGTGACCCCCATATACTGCAGGTAGTCCATGGGAAGCCCCCGTCGGTACTCCACATCCTCCTCCAGGGCCATCTGCAGGGCAGCTGGGAGGAGCTTCTCCAAAAAGTCCCCCCAGGAATTTCTCTGGTAGGAAGACACAGTGATGTGGAGTGAATGTGCATCAGGGAGACAATCACCCTGGTGAATAAAGCCACGGGGGAAGTACAGCAGGTCTCCAGCCTCCAGCACAGTCTCCAGCACAGGCTCACCGAGTTCAGCCTGTGTGAGGTTTGCGCTGGAGAACTGGGGCAGCACCTCAGCATCTGTTCTGGGCCTGTAGACACGCCAGTGCTTCTTCCCCTCCAGCTGCAGCACGAAGGCCTCGATGTCATCATAGTGGGGGGCAAAGCCCTGCGTACCCGGGGGCGTGAGGTAGGTGTTCGCCCCTGCCATGCTGCCAAACTGCTCCTGCAGGATGGAGAGGAAGTGCCAGACGGTAGGGGAGAAGGCCTGCGGGCAGAGGAGGCGCAGGGAGCAGCCGTTCTGGTAGAAGTCCCACACGACAGCAGGCAGGGCTCTGCCGGAGGGGTTGTGCGTCTCCCGCACTCCCTCGGCATAGCTGGTCACATCCAGGTGGGTGCCGAAGTGAACCTCTCCTCCTCGCAAGGCGGCGTCGAAGTCG